GCCTTTACTACTACTTGATCCAGCCAAAATGTTTCTAACTTGTTTTTCAGTTTTCTTCAATTTTTTTTTGCAATTTTTGAATTTGAATTTAATTTAATTTAAATTGTTGTGGCAGCCAATAGGGATGGGTACCAAATTTGATACTTTTTTAAGTACAGACCGAATTCTGTCGGTACTACTGAGTATCTATTCACGTGGCATCAAACGGTACCATGTTTTGGTACCTAAACGCATCATTGCGACCGTATTGGCATGAGTGGTGAGTTTTTTCATGCCTGTCCTGAACGCAGCATTAATGACATCAGCAGCCGCTGGTAAACAGAGCTCTGAACGTAGCTTCAAATCGAGTCTCACAGCACGCAGCTCCTGGAGTAAAACTCGCCGAACAGACCCCCTCTGAATTATCTGGTGGATTAATTATCTGGTGAGAATGACGTTCGCTTGCTCAAAGTAAATAAAGTACTGCCACTTTCTTTATTTCATCCACCATTAAACAGAGACCAGCAGAGGAAAACGGGTTTCCTGACAGTCCGAACTCGTCTGACCTGAAAGAGCACAAGCAGCTAACTTTAAAGCGTTGGGCGCGCTTTGGATGCTCAAAACGTAGCTTGAATACCTTTTATTTATTTTAACTCCATCCTCTTTTTCTTATTTGATATAAACTTATTTGCCTTGCGTGGACCTCCATCACACAATTTTTCTTTCGGGGAAATTACGTTAATAGAAATACATGGAGCTGGATTTTAATTTGTGCAATAAGACAAAACGGTCTTGTTGTTTTCAACAGTTTTCACCTTAAATAAATAAGTTGAAAACTGTTGTTACAATACATAGTGTTGGATGTTGTTTTGATATTTGTTAAATTTTATATATTGAGAAATAAATATGTTAAATAAAAGCGGTGCGCGTCTGCTCTTCCTCCTAATAAATGAAAACTACAGGTGTTTATGCTTAAATTAAATTTGACCAAAGAAAAACCGGAGCAGGACGAGAGAGAGATGAATATGATTTAGATTTTTATTTCTGTGACTTTATGACCCACGAGAGACACGACATTAACAACAGTCGTCATTTCATTCCTTGGCTTTAGCAGGTCTGACGCTGCTAAAAGCGACAGATTTTCTTTTCTGGATCTCTGACAGCAGAACTTCAAACTCAAACTCATGAAGTTCTTCTTTTTTACTTTGGGATGCCATTTATGAATGGACACTTCCTGGTATGTCGGGCAGGAAACGTATATCCTTAAATAGTGTTTTTGGGGTGGTAATTATGCTAATCTCTCCTCGTGCACGAGCAGCTGATACACATTCATCAGTTTACGCTCATTTACACACTTTTCCTGAAGATAGAAGAGTTTGTTGAATCTGACGTGGCATGTTTGTACGAACCCTTCGTAAGAACCAAAGTAAGAGTAATTTAGGATAAGAATAAGAACATGTTCTTGCATGAGGCCCATTGTCCTGCTGCATGACCAGCTTTTGTTCAGTCTTCAGCTGTGAGACAGATGTTTGGCTTACAGAGGAGTTCATGGTGGGCTCAATGACTGTAAGCTGCTCAGGTCATATAGCTGCAGAACAAGCCCAAATCATCAACCCTCCACCACCGTGCTTTTCACTTTGCATTCGATGCTGATTGGTTTCTACACATGTGGGACAGTGCGTTATGACCCAACATCTCGTATGGCCTCATCTTTCCAAAGGACATGGCTCCAGAAATCTTTTGTTTTATTCAGAAGCAACTTTGCAAACCTAAGCTGTTCTGCCATAAGAGGATTCCTCCTGAAAACCCTCCCAAACAAAACATACATGTTCAGCCATCTTCAAACTGAACCTTAACTACTGCTCTTGTAGTGATGCTCTCAGAATCATAGAAGTGTGTTTCGTCTGTAGCATCTGTTTCAAAGCAGTGAGTGGATGTACTACGTCTGCATTTTGACTTGATTTTGTTGCTGCTTTGTGTCATGCTGTTAATCTGAGGTTGTTTGTTCCTCATTTTTTTATTATTAAGAACTAGAGAGTTTATCTTTACTTTGCCTCGATGTTTACAATCTGTGAAATAAAAAAAGAGAGCGTATTTACCCACGGTATGTTTGTCTGCAGCAGATGCACTGAGCGTTTCTCTGCGTTCTTTTCCCAGACCACCTGGTGGCTCATGGCCGCATGGCAGAAAAGGACGCCAGGAAGAAGTTCAAGCAGATTGTGGCAGCGGTCCACTTCTGCCACTGTCGCAATATCGTCCACAGAGACTTGAAAGCTGAAAATCTGTTACTGGACCACAACTTGAACATTAAAATTGCAGGTGTGTGTTTTCATGTAGATCTGTCTTGGCGAGTTGATGCTTCTCTGTTGTTTTTGTTGGTTTTTTAATACATTCAGCAGGTGTGACATGACTTGTTTTTTCTGCTGTCAGATTTTGGCTTCAGCAACATATTTTCTCGAGGTCAGCTCCTGAAGACGTGGTGCGGCAGCCCTCCATATGCTGCTCCTGAGCTTTTTGAAGGCAAAGAGTATGACGGACCCAAAGTAGATATATGGGTGAGTCGAGTGAAACTGATTCTTTTAGAACATTTGTCACTTAATTCACTAGCCCTGTGTGCTCATAGTGTGTGTGTTTTTGTACTCATTTTTCCTGTACAGAGCTTAGGTGTGGTGTTATATGTACTGGTGTGTGGTGCGTTACCTTTCGATGGCAGCACTCTACAAAATTTGCGAGCGCGTGTCCTCAGTGGAAAGTTCCGCATCCCTTTCTTCATGTCCACAGGTAGGACTATCTTTTTCTATCCAGGGATGAAACTTGTACAGAAAACAATAAATAAAATGCCTTGTATGAATCAATAAAAGCACAAATTAAAATATTTTACAGTGGTAATGAACCTTTAGCTTCTGCCTTTTGTTCCCATCTAAAAAAAAAAAAACAAGAGAAAAAGATTATTAGAATACTTCTTAAATATTATTGAATCCAATTTTAATTTATTTTTCAACACAAGTTTTTCTAGTTTAACAAAGCACTTTAGTAAAGTCATTTATAATTAAAAATTAACAAAACTGTCTGTAATGTAAAATACCTCAGAAGTGTGTTTAATATGTGACTGCATACAAAGCTAATATTAAAGAAATAAAATTGAATGTAAAAATATTGTATCATAATTGTGTCCTGTTTGACTTGCAGCTAAAACTTGATTGGGTAAAGCTATTCCAGTTTTTTTATATATATTCTGCACTAACAGAAAATCAAGTGTATTTTTATAAATGTTATTCGTTAAAATGACTGTATGTTTGTGTCATTGCAGACTGTGAGTATCTAATTAGACACATGTTAGTTCTGGAGCCCAGCAGACGGTTGACCATGGAGCAAATCTGTAAGAACAAGTGGATGAGGCAAGGAGACCCGGACCCAGAATTTGACAGGGTGAAACCCTCTCTAAACTTACACCTTATGTTTTCTGCGTTTTCTTGTCCATCAAGGCTCTTTTCGGTTTTTTATTTCATCATTTTACCTAAATCAGTCTGAAGCAAAGCTTGCATGTTGTCCTTTCTGTCTGTGCCTCCAGTTGATCGCAGAGTGTGAGCAGGTGAAGACTGAGAGAAAGATCGAGCTCAACGAGCAGGTGCTCATGGCCATGTCCGAGATGGGCTTGGATCGAGAGTGCACGCTTCAGGTTAGACACACATGGCAGTGGGTTTCACTTCTCAGCCTTGTCAAACGTCATCTGCGTAAAATAAGTCTCTCTCTCTCTCTCGCTCCCCGTCTCTACAGTCTTTGCGGACAGATGCTTATGATCACTACAGCGCCATTTACAGTTTGCTGGCTGAACGCCTCAAGAAACACAAGACACTGCGTGTTGCCCCGCCCACACCGCGCTCTATTAGCTATCCTGTCAATGCTGTACAGGTAATCCATTTTGTGCCGGTGGTCTCAAGCAGCATGGTTGCTTTTACAGCCAAAATCAGTACAGCAGGCTTTCCTCTACGATTCTTTTTTCTGTTTTTCAAACTGTGGCGCTCAGATGGGGGTGACACGACACCGATTCTGTGTGACATGGTTATTTCAGTCCATTTCGGGTCCCAGCCAGATTTATTTTTCTTCCCTCTCTTCTTCCCTGCTGCTCTCTCCTGCCTCACCATGCTCACCTGTGCAGGAAGATGAACCCTCCTGCTCTGCCTCTCCTCTTTCCTCTCCTTCACTCACCTCCTCCACTACTTCAGCCTGTGTTCTTGTCTAAAACAACCGTTTCAATCAACCAATATCACGCAAGGAACCTCAGGAATATTTCAATATTGCACATGTCCACGGTACAGATGACGATCACTTTTATGTTCTGAGGGATATAAAAATGAGTGCGTCACAAAAAACAGGGCTGCACATTAACATTTGTAGCTTGTAGCACTGGTGCTACAGCCGTGATGGACTGGAGGCTGAGATAAGCTCCAGCCCCCATCCCGACCCTGGTTAGGAATGAGGAGGAGGATATTGTGCTGTTCAAAACGTATCTGAACCACTACGCATGAAGGCCAAACTGTATTAATTAACTTTGTTACTGTTTAAATGCAACATATCTTAACATTAGGGCCGTTTTTTCAGACTTGAACTAAAAATGCATTCAACTTAACCCTTCTTTCGCCTTTTCTCTCCCTCGACTTCGGACTGTCGTCTCTAGTTTTCCTTCACTCCTGAGAGCAGCGCTCTGCCTGTCTGCCAGCTTCACAGGCAGACAGGCAGGAGCCGGCATTGTTGGTTTTTCARAGTAAAGTAAATGTCAACATTTAATGATATTTAAATTCATTTCAAGCTTTTATTCCGAATAAAACTCCGGTGCATGTAAACACTTTTCATGATTGGATTGTGTCCATGTAAACAGTACATTCAGATTATTTAATCTGAATACATTTCAATCCGATTAAAAAATTTTGTGCATGTAAACATAGCTGGTATAATTTTACTTATTAAAGCTCATAATCTTACCACTTGAAACATCACTAGCCCTGAAGCTGCTGGTAGACATCACGGTTGGAATTATCAAAGGTTTTTGACACCTGAGAGACACCGTAGCAAGCCATTTGCATTTGGGGGTGGGGGTGGGGGGAGGACCAGGGAGGATGATTCAACCACTCAACCACTAGATGTTGCTGCAAACAACAAATCCTACACACTGTGCCTTTAAGGTGTAGGAACCCTCAACAATATACCTTCATACCATCCAAGCCTAGTTGAGGACCGTTACTTGTAGCTGCGCTGCTGATGAGCGCTACTTTTAGAACTTGCACTGACCCCTCAGGTGCCTGATCACACGCAGGGTCTGTGTTGGAGAGTCTTGCTGTAATATAAGAGTAATTACATTCATAAGGTAAACATGCCATGGCTTCACCTGTTTCATCTTCCTTGAAAAACAAACTTAAAAGTAGCTTGCGAAGCTGCAGCACCAGTGCTACGTTAAAAAAAAATTCATAGCCCTTTTTTTTTCTTGCACGTGCAGCATATACAACACTACATCCCTAATAAATAACATTGAGCATCTCCATCTACCTCAACATCTTCCTCGGGCCTTTTCCTTTTCTTCTGAATTTTTTTTAATATAGTCTGATGTAAATGCAAACAGACATGAGTCTCAATGAAAAAATGACCTGACATAAAGCTATATTGTGCTGTTCAAAACGTATCTGAACCACTACGCATGAAGGCCAAACTGTTTTAATTAACTTTGTTACTGTTTAAATGCAACATATCTTAACATTAGGGCTGTTTTCTCAGACTTGAACTAAAATATAACGATGATAACATTTGTTTGAAAACAGCAGAGTTTTCCACGACTTTCAGTTGTTTTTATTTGTCCAATGAAAAGAGTCAAGTGGTTTTTAACCAACATCAGTCAATCCTACTGCTCTAAGAAGATTGTAATGGAAGTTGTGCAACCCTCACATGACCTGTTTGTGTGTGTTCGTGCCTAGCAGACAGATCCACAAGGTAATCCTGTTAGCATGACCGTTCCCCATGTCCAGCTCATCAACCCAGAGAATCAAATTGTTGAGGTGAGTCAGCAAAGAAGTTGTTTTTGTAGTTTTAACGGGGCTAGCGTGGCTAGAATGCGCACAAGAAAAACTCCAGTCTGAACCCCGACTCCAACACTGAACTAAATTTAATTTGAAAAGTTAGACCAGAGAAACATTCCTTCATTGTCCAGTTTTTAATGACTGTATTACCACTCTGTACTGTTTGTGTCTGAACTCCTTTTTTCCCCAGTCTGTTATCAGTCACAACCAATCATACACGCGTGCACTCTCAGACATAACACACTCGAGTTCTGACTCATAGATACTGAAACACAAGAATGTGTCAGATGACTGCAGTGCAGCAGGGAGTTAAATGGAAGACCCAAAAAAAAAATGGTTTACTCTCCAACACTTGGTGGTTTTTGTTGCACTGGTTGAAAGAGCGCTTCTAGTAACCACTGTGTGTGTGTGTGTGTGTGTGTGTGTGTGTGTGTGTGTGTGTGTGTGTGTGTGTGTGTGTGTGT